TTATGTCGATCGATTCAGATAAAAATCTCCGAAGTCTTTCTTTCTCTCGCGATATTCCTAGAGTAAAACTGTACAAAAGCTCTACGAAATTGGCGATATTTTTCACGGATCTGGTTCGAGTCTCGGCTCTTGAGGAAGGTGCGCATGTAGAAAGAGAACGCCAACAGAGTTTATCCTGCTAAATGGTTATCAATTCTCTATAAGTTCTGTATTGTACATAAATTATAGAATATCTAAACGTTTCTTTTTTTTTCGATGTCCTGTGAAATTATACAATAGAGTTACAAATAAAGATAAAGCCACACTTTACGTATAATCTGATTCAGTCTTTGCTAATGTTACATAATAACGTGCGAAAGAACTAACAGACTATTTAAGAGGCTATTTAAGAATTTTAATTGATACTGGCAGCATAAAACTGTTCAGCTAGCTTTACACAAGATATTGGTCTTCTTCTTTATGAAATCGTCAAATTATGATTATGATACATTTCTTCATTATCACCAGCATCGAATCTAATCTTATTTATCGTGATACTCTTGAGAAACTGTTAATCCATTGTCTTAACTCGATCGCGGCGCAGAACTGCGTCCACCAATATTGTTCCTCTCCCTCCAATCGATTCCCGTAAAAGCTGTCTACATATTGAACAGTCGATACAACGACGGCGGATTAGTCTGAAATTAAGCACACGTTAACAATCACTCTTTTTGCTAAAATCACAATTCTCTTTTCAATCGCATACCTTGATTATGACATAGACCAGCACGGGAGTCAGATCGTCGGCAGCAGATATGCCTCTTTCCGACGCCATGGAGAAGAGATTCATGATGGTAGTCGCACAACGAAATACACACTGCAACTTATCCCTAGAAGTCTTATACGCCGATATCACAGCCAATTCAGCCTGGGCCCATGACCAGGGGCATTCGTAATGATAAACTTTTGAAATGCGTAGGTCCCTGTGATTTGGAGTTACGACCTTTGCCAACTTATTGATGTGACCGTGAAAAAGCTGGTCCCTATATACATCTCCATCTTCATTTAGATAGAGCGCATTGTGGTATATCCGTGCCATGACGGTTCTTTCCATCACGACTCTCGCCAAATCTAACTGGTTGGCGCTTGCCGCTGAAAGTAAGAAGTAAGTTCAGACGTCTCTGAGCACTCCGCTAAAATCAATTGCGAGATAAATAATTATATTCATGTACATTGCCAAATCGGATCGTTGTCCATTTCCACATGGACCTTCCCTAGACAATTATCCACGAGATCCTGTTTCTCGTCAGCTAGCGTAAGCTTTTTAAACTCTTCGCAGAAACGCAGGAGGAAAGCCTTCTTTTTTTCCAAAAATACCCTCACACAAACGGATACAAGATGATTATTGATAGCATCCCGATCGCACTTAACTCGCACGCATAATCTGAAAAATATTATTATTAAACGGTTAACATCTTACATTTAAACATCTTACATTTACTTATATATTACATACAAAGATGATATTTATATATAAACAGTACCTATCTAAGTAAGCTAATGTCGACAGCAATCCCTGACGACATCTGATTAAATATGCGATATAAGGAGATCGCTTTTGATAATCCTCTCGAAGTGATTTGAAGAGCTTTCTACATCCATCGTCATTAAATAGACGCACGCAACGTAAAGTTTCATGAAGATGTTAGATGAGCTAGTTAGACTTAGCTAACTAAGACTTAGCTCAGCTTCAGTTTTGCCGTTTGCTATGACAGAACCCTCCTGCTGATGTTCCCCATCAAGCCTCACGTTCTCTTCCTCCGCCTGAGTCTCCATTCGCGCAAAGATCACGTTGATCATCTGCGTGAGTCGCACAGGCTGTTGTTTGATTCACCAGGTTGCGCGACGACAAGTAAATGTTGTAAACAGTACGAATTGTTAACAGTACCGTACCCTCGTATACCTCCACATGCTGGCTTGTCATTACAGTCAGCAGAGCTTTAATAATCTGCAGCTGCACACTCTCATCGGTCTGTGGACCGGTGAAGCAACCCCAAAGGCTCCGTTGGATCAGGCACATTGCTAGTGAAATGACTATATGCGATTAACTTCTGCAGGCAGTCCAGTGCTGTGTCACCACAATCCGTAGTGACTAGCTCTAACATGCTGACTCAAATGGCAAGAAGTACTTAGCGGTAATGACATTTGAGTCGCTCTTAATTGGGCTGTGGCCCAATTAAGGGCGTTTGAGATAACCTCTTCACCCTGCACAGCTGGTGTACATCTTTGATCTCGTTACGGAGGTCCTCTGCAAGATGGAAATATGAGTGACAAACTTAATTAGTAACTATCGCTTATAGCTACAAGCTTATTAGCCTGTATATTTATTTATTTCAGTATAAAATAATTTTTAAAACGTTCATATTAATTCTGATTGCAGATGGACCTTCGGAAACACTAGCGCCTTCTTCTTTTAACATGAATAACTAAAAAATCTATATTTCGGCTAATTACCGAGTTTATAAATATTTAATTAAAATTATCTGGGTGACTCACAAACCTTTTTAATCACACTTCATAACTCTTCATACAAAATACAAACGATTCCGTATAAAAACTTTTATTAATTTATGTATTTCGGCTAAATGCATGGTGTAAAAATAATTAATTAATTACAATTAAACGAATGACTCACAAACCTTTTCAATTGCACTTCAAAAGTCTTCATACGAAATACAAACGATTTCATATGGTAGATTCTTTCCCGGACATTCATTTCCGGTCAAATACATACGAATCATAAAATTGCAGGAGCCATAAGCAGAAAGCAGAAGTCATATGCGCATGGTATCTATAGAGCTCTATAGGGGGCTCTATTCTTGAATCGTTTTCATGAAACTCGCATGCGAAATTCAATGCTTTTCAAATAGAAAGTCGCATACGAAAATCATTAGGGCAGGGCCCGTATTCCGTTCCTGCCTACCGACAACTGTCGGTTCGATAAATGTCGTTGCGCAGGTTTTTCATATCGTGTAAAAGCTGCGCAACGACACCGACGATTGTCGGTAAGGCCCGGGGCCCTATTCTTGAATCGTTTTCATGAAACTCGCATGCAAAATTCAATGCTTTTCAAATAGAAAGTCGCATACGAAAATCATTAGGGCAGGCTCGAGAATACGGTCTCCGGTCTACAATGGATGTCGGAAGTCAGAGTCGTAAGAAATTGACCAATCACAGTTCATTATTCTTCGACCGCAAGGAGAATAATAGATTGTGATTGGTCAATTTCTTACGACTCCGACTTACGACATCCATTGTAGACCGGGCCTAAGCGGATTTTAGCGGAACAGAATACGGCCCCAGGGACTCTACGCGCGACGCGTATAGTGTGAACGCAGCATTCGTTCCGTTCCGCTATTTTTCTTTCTCCATGGGGACCAATGGGGACGCACCCTAAAGTCTATGACGATATAACTGACGCCGAGTGTGTGTTAAAAATGATATAATATAAAAATTTGTTTTCTGATAGATAAATTTTTTTATGCTTGCGAAATAAGTGAGAAGTTTAATTATTGTATATATATGTTGTTTCTTTATTTTTTTCTTGAAGTATATAAGTATAATGGAATTTACTTAACCTAATATAGGTTCACTTAACCTAATTTATTTAATATAGTTCAACTTAACCTCATCTTAGTTTATCCTTACCTAACTTTAAAACGATTTTGACAATACTATTTGACTCATCATATTGTGTGTACATACAAAGATCGAGAAGAAGGAATGGAATCTACATCTAGCAAAGTGGAGTATCATCATGATTTATATTGATTCCCTTTCTTAATTGAAATATGATATTCATAATCTCCTAATATTGATTACTATTATACTTTTATTACTTATATTTTAATATTTTAATATTATATGATATTTTTTTCTAAAATTACTTTAAATGATGAATTTATTTGTGCAAATTATTTTTTACTTTTCAACAATTTCTTAGAATTTATGAGGCAAAGTGTCACACTACTTATATATCGTCTAAATAATAATCGAAGCACACATGTGTGGAATATTTGATAATTTCCAACAGAATATATGATTGTAGGATGAACAGAATAACCAGGAAGATTCGGACTCTTCAGAAATAGATGAGATAGAACCTAGATTAAAATATGTGAGAATACGCAATGATCTGGAACATATCCTGCAAAACGATGCAGCTAGCTGCATTGCTGTACATCCAAAGGTAAGAATTTTACGAATAATGGATTTTTTATTTTAAAGACAATTAAGTTGTTTTGACTTCACAGATAAATAAAAATAGGACTGTAAAATCTCTTTATTAATTTTGCTTTTTTTTTCTCCAGTTCCTCTGTCTAGGATCACATTGGGGAATGATCCATCTTCTAGACCACCAAGGAAACAATATAAAATCTAAAACATTACAGGCACATACAGTGGCAGTCAATCAGATATCCATAGACTACAATGGGGACTTTATTGCCTCTTGCAGCGATGATGGAAAAGTTTTCATTTATGGATTGTACAGTACAGAAAACAATCACAATATGAGCATGGGCAGGCTAGTTAAGAGTATAGCGATTGATCCGAATTATAAGAGTGGCAGTGGTAGAAGATTTATTACAGGTTTAACATATATCTTAAATTTTAAATCTATATAACCTTTTTACTAGAGCTCACAACAGAATTAATTTTTACAGTGTTGATTTTAGCTTTTAAATAATATACGTTTACAACACATCTATAGGTGATGACAAGCTAGTACTTTACGAAAAGACTTTTCTGGCCAGGATGAAGCCAACAGTGCTGTGTGAAGCAGAAGGTGGAGTCAAATCTGTTGCGTGGTCTGGTCGCTTTGTTGCATGGGCATCTGACACTGGTGTGAGAGTCTATGATCTCGATGCTAGATGTTCACTAGGACTCATAAAGTGGTCCCGTACTGCAGAGTAAGTGCTGACAAAAAGTTATGTACAACTTTGTGTACATATTGTAAGATTAAATCAAGTTTTGATGTCGAACTAACAGACTGAAACTTTGTGGAAACTACTGATTATTTGCCTATTTTACAAGAATTGTTATACATTACTAAACTTAAACTTAATTCACTCAGAACTGTAATTTTTCTATCATATTTCATATATTTCATGTGGCTATTATACATAATTTTATGCAGGGCATCACCAGAACACTACCGATGCAATTTGCAGTGGTCCGATGACAAGACACTATTGATTGGATGGGTGGACGTTGTGCGTATCTGCCATATTAGGAAACGTACCATGCAAGAAATGGTGAACCGAGATTTGCCCGAATTTGTAGTAGATCCAGGTAATCAGTAAAATATACTTATGGTTCTTTTCGAATCTATTCCAATATTGAAAGGTTAGGATGAATCCAGACTAATGTACATTTCTACCAATGTAGATTAACTTGAATCGCGGTTTAACTTACTTTTTCACAACACCTCCACAGAAAGTTCGACTTTCCATGCCTGTAGAGAGGGGCGAAAGCGGCCAATTTCACGCCAGGGCGGCATAGCGGGCGGAAAGTAACAACTTTCCGCCCTAGGGAGGAAAGTAAGCCCTGGCTTGAAATTGACCACTCTCGCCTCTCTCTAGGCATGGAAGTCGAACTTTCCGTAAAGGTATTGTGAAAAATATCGTGTGCACCTCGGGGTGAAAACTTTTTCAGACTCGTGTGATTTGCCACCCTCGCCTTCGGCAAACTTCACACTCGTCTGAAAAACTCTACTTTTCGCCCCTTGGTGCACAATATACTATTTATCTTTTTCTAGTTTTTAAAATTAGAGAAAGATAAAAGGTAAGTTAAACCAAGATCAAAGTTAATCTACATTGGTAGAAACGAATATAAGCAAGGTCAAATTATTACGAATGAAACACTTACCTATGAATATGAATATATATTGTGAATGCTTTTCCTTTGATATATTGAAAAGAAATTAAACATATTTATCGACATAAATTTGAATTTGTTTACATTTATGGTGTCCTTCATTGAAATAAACTTATTTACTCATGTTCGGATTCTTTGCTAAATCTGGATTCATGTTTAGAACTAATTCGTACGATTCAATTTGTATTATAACAGTAGGTATTCAAAATGTAGGAATCATTCAAGCAATTGCATTTTACTTTTCAGTGTCAACGTTTCAAGTAGATTTTTATATATCCGGTGTAGCACCATTGAGAAATCAGTTAGTATTATTAGGATGTCTAAAGGAACCGGATGAAGATGGAAAAAATCAACGTCCAACTCTACATGTGGTTGAACCAAAATATCAAGATTTCTCAGTAATATGTGCAAACTCGCTTACCTTACGTGGTTATAAGGAATACAGTTGCAATGATTATCACTTGGATTGTTTAAAGGAGGAAAACAGGTAGGCAACAAAATTAATATTATAAAATTAGTGTATTAAAATCAATTTGGGACAATATGTGATTTCATGTGAAAATTGTTGACTCCTAGTCGATAGATTCTGGTTTCAATCTCCGACTTTTATTCTATGTATCTTTCGCTTTTATAAGAAAGCTTTTATATTGATTAAAAAATTAAAAATTGTGAGCGAGAGAATACAAAGTGACAATAATGATAATCTGTTTTCAGAGTATATTTCAATAAAATATTAAAATTGATTTAAATATGTGCCATAATCATTTAACTTACTTTTAATCGCAGTTTATTGACCAAATCGGTTTTGTATACGATGAAAGAAAAATTTAAGATAATTTCTAAATATTTTAAAAATTAATTTTAACAAATAATTATTTTTCTATAAAGTATATGTATTTTATAGAAAATTTTTTATATTAATATGTAACAAGTTACAAATAGTCTAATGTTTAATATATGAAATAAGAATAGAATAGCTTTGAATTCAAAATTTACTTTACTTCCATTTTTAGAACTTTTCGTACATACTTTTTTAATTTAATTTAATTTAAAAAAAAAATCTCTAAAATCATCTTGATGTTGTTTTTCATGGAAAAAAATTATTTACAGATTTTTCATTGTAAGTCCGAAAGATATCGTAGTGGCCAGTTTGTATGATACGGATGACAGAATCGAATGGCTATTGAGCCATGGAAAGTTCGAGCAAGCTTTAGAAGCTGTAACAATAAATAACGGCAAAGATTGCAAGATGCATACTGTATTGGATGTAGGGCGTACTTATTTGGATCACCTATTAGCATGTGAAAAATACGATGATGCTGGAAAGCTTTGCCTCAAAGTTTTAGGACGAAATAAAAAATTATGGGAGGAAGAGGTGAGAGAAACGTCATCATGGACCGTTTTCAATATCCATCTTGTGAATAATAAGACTATTTGCAATTACATTTAAGCCCGTGTTCGTAAAATTTTTTCGCTTTGGTGTGAATATACTTTTTTGCTGAGACAGGTTTACAAATTTGCCAGAGTGCATCAACTGCGTTCAATCTCGTCCTACTTGCCGCGGGGTGACGTTATCCTCGATTCACTAATCTATGAAATGGTCCTGTATGAATATTTAAAAATGGATCCCGACGGTTTCCTGCAACTGGTCAAGGAATGGTCACCGGATTTGTACACAGTAGCGGCGGTAGTTAACGGCGTATTGGAGCATTTACTGGTTCACAATCAACGACAGAACGTATTATTAGAAGCGTTAGCCATTTTATATATCCACGATGGCAAATACGATAAAGCGCTCGCTATGTACTTGAAGCTGCGGCACAAGGACGTCTTCCAATTGATCCAAAAGTACCAGTTGTATAATTCTGTGTATGACATGATCGAAGGCCTGATGGATCTGGACACAGAACGTGCCATACAATTTTTTCTGGAGAAGGACAGAGTGCCGTCTGACGTGGTTGTACAAAAGTTGCAACATAATCATCGTTATTTATATTTGGTAATAAATCAATATATAACGTTTACATTTTTATGTGAAAAATATGCGTATATTTACAAGAAGCATTTGATATATTGTAATTCAACCGCATGCAACATTTATATTTTCTTTAATTATTTTGTTTGTCTTAAATATTATAAACATGAGCTATCAGTTTTAAATAAGGATTTAATTGTATAATTTTGTTCCTTTTTTAGTATCTAGATGCATTAGATAAAAGAGACACAAAGGATTCAAAGGGCAAGTACCATGGTCTTTTGGTACGACTGTATGCCGATTATTCAAGAGACAAGTTACTACCGCTTTTACGTCGCTCTGATAATTATCCAATACAACAGGCTCTGGATATTTGTAGTCAGCGTCGATTTTATCCAGAAATGGTGTATCTGCTAGGTAGAATCGGAAACACTTCGGAAGCTTTAGCGCTCATGACAAGAGAACTCAATGATATGGAAAGTGCAATAGCATTCTGTCAGGAACACGATGATGAAGAGTTGTGGAACGATCTAGTTAATTACTCACTTGACAAACCTGGTATGAATCAAATGGGTTTCTAAAAAGAGTCTAATGTTAGAATTGTTAGAAATGTTAAAAAATTAATTCAAGTAAAGTTTAATTCAAGTAATAGTTTTCACACGTTTCAGCGGCTATTACATTTCTCCTCCAAAAGATCGGCACCTATGTTGACCCTAGGCTTATGGTGCAAAGGATAGAACCCACTTTGGAAATTCCAGGCTTAAAGAAAGCATTGGTTAAAATGATGTGCGACTACAATCTGCAGGTGTCTGTGCAGGAAGGTTGCAAGAAAATACTATCTAACGATTATTTCAATCTCCACGAGCGACTTGTTCGTTGTCACCAAAAGGGCATATTTGTCGACGGTAAGCTTTATAAAATCTGATCTTGAAAATTAATCTTGAAAAAGAATATTATATATTTGTAAAAATTGTAAAAAATTATAGAACTGATTTAAACAAGAAAGTTTCAAAGAGTTGTTTAAAAAAATTGTAGTTAAATGTATCTATTATGTTAAACATTTTGATAAATTCTTTATATGTGACAAATGTAACGGATTAGTAATCTATTCTTTATGACAATGCAAAATTATCACTAGATTTATTTCATAGATGATCAGATGTGTGGAGCTTGCCATAGGAAGATAATTGTAAGAGGTATTTACAAATAACTAGTTTGAATTAGTCACAATTCTAATTGATTGATACGATTATAATTTGCCTTTAAATCTTTTTCCCCAGAACCGCGGAATATGGTTGTATTTTATTGTAAGCATTGTTTTCATGAAGATTGTCTACCCAATTTTGATTTGGTTGTACGTATTATATTTCTTCCATACTAATTTGTTTATTTTATTATTGATGGATTGTTATAATATTCTTCATTTTTCAGGAAAATTGTGTGATATGTAATTCGCAGAAAGAGATGACGCCTGGCAGAAAATTATAAAGGTAAAGTTGTACTTATGCAACATGTGGAATATCGAAAACTTTAAATGGACTAGTGTCATATTTCAACCAAGCATCTTGGTATAGCTAAGATTATGTTACATTAATGTATAAACAAATTTTTATATATAATAAATAGGTTAAAATTACATGAAAAAAAAAAAACAAGTAGGTTTTAATTAGAATTAGATATGGTAAAGTGCACATAATAACGCATAAATATTTAATTCATTTCGACATATAATGCAAGAAAGAAACTCATATGACTTTTTGCTTTTGATGTCATAATTCAATACAGTTGTAAATAAAAAAACAACGAAAAGAATTTCTGTAAACTAATTGAAAGTCTTTGTAATCTCATTGCTTGATGAAGACAATGACATTTTATTTATAAATTATGTACATTTATATTCCTTTATTTAACGGTTTAAACTAACAGAAAGATATTTGTAAAAAAAGGAAGTAAAAGTAAATAAAAAATATTTCGTACAGCTATTAACTCGACTTATTAAACTATTTTTTGAGTATGAATATATAACTAAGTTGATATTTCTTTTAAAAACTTTATTTATATTATCCAAACGATTTATCAAGTTGTAAATTTTGAACTCTATACGATCCCGGCAAAAGCCGCAGGATCCGATTGATCTCTCGATAGATGCAGATTTATGTCAATTATC